AAATAAAAACGACTACATGCCGTGAAATTCTTAGAGGGGCGGGCCGTCTCGTTGGCGGGGGGGGCCCCGCCTGTATAATGGTAGGGGAAACACTGCAGATGCAGCCAAAATTTTCAGGACTTGGTGGGCTGCATGAGAACAAGCCCACGAACTGGGACGTCCTTCTGTGACAGTGRCATAAGCGGCCGACAAATGTGCACTCATAAAGATGCAGTCACCCCCTCCCTCCCCAGCTGATCTGTTCCTCCACATGTCCTGAATGTACAGTGATCATTTTAAGTCAAAGCAATCAGATGTTATTTTTGTTAATTTCAGATAATTTAGAAACAGATTCAGTGGAAAAAAAGGTTTATCCTTTTGAAATCATTGCAGCATCAGTCGGTGTTTCCTTTGATCTTTTCATATGATTCATAATTAACCATTACACTGCTGCGCATATCTGATCAGGAAATCTTTGATCCATCTAATAGGTCTAGTAAATAAATCATGAACATTCATTAATCCTARATGATTTACAGCTGGATTGAATGAGTCACCCTGTTTAAGCGTGGCTTGGTGTTAGAGCAACAGATTACAGTTGTTAAGCTTGTTCAAGCTCAGCTTACAGCTCATATCCTCAGTTTATAAATCTGACTTTTGAGAAATGTTTCCTTGTTTATGAGGATATTTTTTAATGGAAAACTTAAAAATAGTTTTAAATTAAAGAAAGAAAAGCAAACCAGTTTCCCTGTTAAAAACCCTCACCTGCATTGTTGATGAGGATGTCCAGTCGAGGTTCAGTGTTCAGGAAAGTTTCAGCAAAACTGCGCACAGACTTCAGACTAGCCAGGTCCAACTGCATGAACAGAACCTGGTTGTTCCCGCTCTCCTGAGAGAAGCAAAAATTTTGGTTAAGTTTAGCTGTGATCAAAATGGAAGGAAATAGAGTTGAATGTTGAGWGAGATTATATACAAGCTCTGATTGCCAATAAGAAAATGTATAAAGAAATTGAGATACAGCTGGATTTCATTATAAAATTCACCCTGGAGACCTGGTATACGACAGTCTAGAAATATAAAATCGAAAATGAAATTTAGATTTTCAGCTGGCTGGCCTAYGATTCAAATTTTAAACCAGGAATCACAAATTCAAAATTTAAGGAATGGTCCAATGAAGGCTTGCGTATGCTAGTCAAATTAACAAAAGAGGGGAAAATTAAAAGTTTTTCAACTTTACAAAGAGAGTTTAATTTGGGAAATCAAGATTTTTACATATATTTACAAGCCCGAGACTATTATCAAAAGGAAATAAGAGCAAGCCTTCCTGGACAAATAAACAAAAATCACAGAAATATTAGGAACTGCTTATAACAACAAAACAGACAAACTAGTATCAAAGCTATATCAAGGACTGATGACTAATGGGAAAACACTAACATTATTATATCATTATATGTAAAGAAAAAGTGGGGAAAAGAACTGGAGGAAATAACTGATGACATGTGGTATGATATTTGTGAAATGCAACAGAGCACAACTAACTCCAGAATATGGAAAACTTTTTGTTGGAAAAATATAATTAGATTTTTCATTACACCCAAGATGAAGGGGAGATCATTATCAGTGCAACAACCATGTTGGAGAATATGTGGAGAGCAAGACATAAGTCATTCACGTGTTTGTTTGTTT